TGAGAGCTGCTGCTTTGTCAGACAAATTTATTTTAATTTGAAGTCTTATCAACACAGACTGGCTTCATTCACTTCCTTCACTACCATATGCTAAACTAACTAGCAGACACTGCGCAGAACATCGACGTCGTTCAAAACTCCTCCTTTTGTTTGCTGATTGGCCCAGGTAAAATAAACTACAAGCAGACACTGTACAGAAAATTAAGGTTCTGTTCTCTGATTGGTTCAGCTAAAAATCTGCCAGCGAAATCCTTGTTAATGGGAGAAGTCCCAGACGGAGCAGAGAAGGGAAACTAGCGGAGCTGCGCAGGAAGGCAAGGGCCAGGCTAACAAATAACAGAACCAACAGAAAAACGTACCAACAGAAGACATGTTAACACCCAACTAAAGCAGTCGTTCCCAAAGTTGGGGTCTGGACCCCTCTGTGGGTCATGAAACATCAAGTAAAGGTCCTCCGATTTCCAGACATCACTTAGGGATCCATTTAAAATTAAATAAATTGCTAATGGAATATTTTCACCATAATTATTGAAATGAAACAAATCTAATAATCATAGATGAATAAAAGTTACCATATGTATATATTAGGTTTGTTTATATTGTTATTACGCCCGTTTGTAACAGTGTTATTAGCTACATTTACATATGGAAACCTGTAATATCTGGGGAAGGTTCTGCAGCTATTGTTTTGTGGTTTGGAAGCTCAAAAGTTTGAAAACCACTGAACTTATTGCCCAGTACAAACACCTGCACAGAGAGGCAGAGCAGGAAGCAGGTGTGTGTGGTAGAAACAAAACTGAAACTGAACAGACTAACCAGAAAAACATGGGACACAACTAAAGAATCAATACTTAACAAAAAACACTAATCTTAACCGACTTATAATTAATGGGTCAGAGTTTTCGACATTATATTTATGTGTGTGAGTCAGTGTGCTTGCAGAATTAAATAACGTTTCAATCAATGTTTCAGCATGTGTGTGTTTATTCCCTGCAGACCTTTTCGAGCCACCAATCAGACGAGTCCCACATTCAGCCTTTCTTACCTCTCTCCTCTCTGCTGAGCTCCACAGCTGGAGGAGAACAGGAGACCACCAGGAACAAGTAACTTAAAGTCATTTAAAGGATCGTTAGTGATGAACGGTTAGAAGGGTTTAATAATAAATGGAGGAGATCAAGTTCAACCTCCTTTATCAGGTGAGAGCACTGGAGCTTCAGAAAACACATGCTGCATCATGTGTTCACAGGAAAACCTGCCAAGTGTTACTTTTACATTCAACTGAAATATTTTAGAGAGCAAAATTAATTCTATGTCCCTTTAAGAAGTTTAAAAAAAGTTTGAATATTTTTGCTTTTCCTGATGTTTTTTATTTTACCCAGTCAAAGTCAAAGACAGCTAAATATAACCTAAGCTGAATGGGAAAATCCTGATTATCTGATTATTTGCAGACCTGGTTGTTGACTCTTTGTGGCCAGGAAATGCTTTAGCAGTAAATACTGTACTAAAATAAGGCAAAAACTTTCAGCCTATTTTTCAAACCTATGCAACCTGCAGCCATCAAAACATACATTTAAACATTTATATTCTTGAAATACTTGATTTGACTTTTTTTTTCTTATTTCAAGAGTCTTACCAAGTAAAATTTTCTTACTCCACTGGCAGAAATTTTTGACTTAATTTGAGTCAAATTTTCAGAC